CGATCATTTCACGACTAAGATCTGTTTATGTACACGCGATCTGTTAGTTGCACTTAGCCAACTGTGCCATATGTCTGGCGTCGAAAATTGTTGGGTGACCATGTCATGACCCCGTTTTACAATACTTCGGTTACAATTGACGGTTTGGTGAAAAACGAACACACAGGGTCAAATATGCTTGTACACGTGTGCTAACCAGGCTGTAAGAGAATGTTTCAGTCTAAAATAAGCCATAAAAGTCATCGACCGCAAACCCCGTCCACCACTGGCGGCCGCCATTTTGTCATGGTGTGCGTGACGTCACACGCCGAAGGAGCAGTGTCGTCGTCTACTGCCAAACAGCAGCTTGTGCACGCGGTTAGTGTTGGCGAGTGTTGCTTGCCGCGTGGTCTGCCGTTGTCTGTGGGTTGCCGGTGTTGCGGTGTGTTTCAGGTACCGCCACCATTTGTGGCGACGACGTCCTGTCAGTTGCGCGTTTTGACGTTGACTCCATCGCCACCAGCGCAAGCGACGAAGAAAGCGTTGAAGACGGCGTGAACCAAGATGCCAACGACCCCACCATTGTGGCAGACGTTGCAATGTGTGCTTTTCGCTATATATCATGCGTAGCTTTATTTTGGACGTGTCAGTTTGAAAAGCGAGCTTGGTATACGTGGGTCTGTCGACACTGCATTCACGAGGAAATGTTACTTAGCGCCGTCGAATCGCCAAAGCGTGCCGATGTTTGTTAGCTGGCATACGTGCATGCAAGACTTTCGCTGCTGAACATAAAAAATAAGTGGTCGTAGTGATGCTGCGCTTTCAGATTTTTGTTTTTCCATCGGTTGTTGCGTGCGGCACATTTAAACATAAGCCTAAGCGAACGAAATGTCGGTGCAGCGAGAGAGTTATCACGATATACAGTTTGGCCGAATCATTGCTCGAATTCTCTCGATAACATTCGGTTCCGTTAAAAAAAATAGCAGTTGCGACGCTCAACAATGACACTGCCTGCGAGGACTTTCGATAAATATTTATTCGTAGTGGCAAGTGGCATACTCATTGCATATTCACAGGATACATTTTGCCTCCGAAATATGCTTGATGCAAATACCGGCGCGACATGGGTGACGCGGTGGCATTATCATTTAGTCCCAGTGGCAAGTTGGCCAACGCAGAAAAAGTTCGACTGCAAGCACTGCTGACCACGGAGCACAATTGTCCTCCGGAACGCTGACCACGCAGATGCTCGCTCAGCAAGCGGTTCGTGACGTCATGGCTTGCTAGCGCGTCAATGTGTTGGCCGACTGTCAAGCCACTTGCTTGTTTATAAAATATTCGATTATAAATTAAGGGCCCTACCAAATTCGCTTAAATTCAGCCAGCTTGTGTGCAAACGTACAAGAATGAAGCCACAGAACACAGATTGTGGTTAAAAATTGAGGCTCATGACCTTTTCTACTTTGCGTCGTAGTGAACTCGCTCACGGAGGGATATTTGTCAACACGGCCTCATCAAGTGTGAGGCGCACGGGACACCTTTATGCTCTCCCAAAGTGTAGTACGCAATACTCTTAATTGTTAACGATTTATACTAAACACATGCACACTTACTTTTTCATCAGGTTACGTTTCGTGACAACTCTACCCGAGTGCTGTAATTTTTGTCGACATGGCCTCATCGAGGGTGAGGCCCACGGGACAGCATTATCTTCTCCCACAGTAGGGTACGAAGTACTCTGAATTGTTACCAACCTTTTTCTAAAGTTGACAATATAGGCTCTCTCTCAGGCGGCATCGGTTGGGCATCAATACAAGACTCACAAAATGAAAAACGTCTCTCTACCACTGCAGACGGGTACCGATTCAAATTATAGTAATTTAGAGCTAGATTGTCATAGAGCAGGCGGTATTCGGATAATCGAGGTATCGAAAGACTTCCGTCCTCACGTGGGTCTGTTTGTTCAGACGTCGAAGTCGGTCCCCATCTTAGACATCCGCCGCCATCTGACACAGTCAGCGCCCCGCCAAATCACCGAAGCAAACTTCGGTGACTTTGAGCGTATCTATCTATCTATCTATCTATCTATCTATCTATCTATCTATCTATCTATCTATCTATCTATCTATCTATCTATCTATCATCTATCTATCTATCTATCGAACCACCTACAACTCTTAGCTCTCCTGGCCGTTTCAATAATGATATCGACACCAAACTTGGTATGGCACAACATGACTATATGAAGAACATATTTGACTAGTCATAACATGAAAATAATGATATGTATGTTATGAATGCTATGATTTACATTTCATGGTCCTGCAGCTGTTGCGGTAGTTTCGTTCACATGGCATGTTGCAAAACTGGTATGGTATGACATGATTGCATGGCGAACACAAGCGACAGACCCTAACATCAAAATCAGGACATGCGTGTCATGTAACAACATGACTACATGCCACACTCATGGTGCACTCGAGGCCGTTTCGCTGGCGTCACATATACCGAATTTGGTATTACAGTACGTGGATGGATGACGAAAGTATGTGATTAATGCAAACATGACAATCATGAGATGCGTGTCATCAAATAACGTGACTGCATGCCATGCTTAGGACGCGCTGGCGGCCGTTTCGCTAGCTTTACTTTTACAAAATTTCGTATTATGGAACGTGAATGCAGGAGGAAGGTATGATACTAGTGCAAACATGATAAACATAAGATGCGTGTCACGTAACAACATGAGTACATGCCCCCCTCATGATGCGCTCATGGCCATTTTGCTTGCTTGACATGTACCAAACTCAGTATTACGCGATGCGAATGGACGACATGGGTAAATGACACATAAAAACATGATAATCACGACATGGGTGTCATGTAACAACATCGCGACAAGCCACAATCATGATGCGCTCGCGGCCATTTCGCTAGCTTCAGATATGCGAAATTTGGTTTACGTGACGCCAATGACTCATGAAAGTATGTGACTGATGCAAACATGATAATCATGAGATGCGTGTCATGTGATAACATGACTACATGCCAGAGTCAACACGCCTATACATTTCCACATGACGCGGTGCGCGTGCTCAACGGCGTTAATTTCGTAGTGTCACATCGGCGTTGCCACCCCAGGCGCCGGTCCTGCCATATACTCACAGGCACACGCCACGCTGCGTTGCTTTGACGCATGCGCGTTTCAGCACGTCCGGTGTCCCTTCTTTACGAAAAGGGGGAGACGCAGTGTTGTCTGGGTAACGCATCGATATAGAGTGATGTTACTTTATGGTATCGGCGCAAAATGCAGCATGTCGCATTTCGCGCAGGTTGCCGTCGGGCCGCGCCGACGGACGCTGGTCGTGCCTGGCGTCAGAATATAGAGTGCTCGCGTTGTGCTAACGTAGCGTCGCTGTGCCCAGTGGGCGCACGCGTCAACACTACATTGGGATGTATTGGGCCATTCACGATGCGCTCGCGGCCATTTTGCTTGCGCCACATGTGCCAAATGCGCTGTTACACTACGTCGATAGATGACGAAATATATGACTGGTGCAAACATGATAATTCTGACACGCGTGCCATGTAAGAACATGACAACATACCACGCTCATAGCGTGCTCGCGGCCGTTTTGATAGCTCCGGATATACTAAATTGCGTATTATGTGACGCAAATAGATGACGAAAGCAAAAGACATATCCAAGCATGATAATCATGACACAGTCATCTACGGCAAAATTTACCTCCAGCTTGTAACTTTCTGTCGATTTTAAAGTGACACATCAACATTTCCCATTCATGCTTCGCATATCATCGATTTCCACTGCACGTGGGATCTGCCAATTTTTTTTAGTATAAAGGTGCCATACACCATACAGAGTAGACCATACAGAATTTCGGCGTGTTTATGGTGCCTCAGATATGCGCAATAATTGCTTTTTAATTGACAATCGCACAAGTATTAACGCTGAATCTTGAGCAATATTGGTGGGCACTGCGGATGGGGTCGGCCGTTTAGGGTATCGTTTGGTACCGTTTAGGGCACCGTTAAGGGCAAGCAAACAGAAAGACAGGCACACAGGCAGACCAAATGTCTCGAAGGAAGACCACTGTCTTTAAAATGCGCATGAAACGAGTACCGGTGCCACCAACCTCAGGAAGCGAACGTTTCCGGCACTTTCCCGCCGCTTTCCGCACTATCGCCGTCTCCGGGTCCGCTGCCAGCGTCGCCATGCTGCGGCACTTTTCCGCGCCTTATAGACTCCGGGTCTGCCTGTCCATGCTTTCGAGGTTTGGCCACTCCTTCCCGCCTTTACGCCACCTCCGAGGCCGCAAACGGTGTGGCCAAGCTGCTGCAGATTCGCCAATCGCCACTCCTTCCCGCCTTTACATCACCTCCGAGGCCGCAAACGGTGTGGCCAAGCTGCTGCAGATTCGCCAATCGCCACTCCTTCCCGCCTTTACGTCACCTCCGAGGCCGCAAACGGTGTGGCCAAGCTGCTGCAGCTTCACCAATCCCCTGCTCCGGGTCCGTCAATGCCATCGCCGTTTCGCGACAGCTTCCCGAGCCTTAGACTCTGGGTATACTGTTTGTCTGCGTCACCAGGCTGCATAAGCTTCACGAGCCCTCGAATCCGCTTGCAGTTCAACTACCAGTTCATACATGGAGGGTGCGACTGTCCATGGCTGAAGAGAGAACGAGAGTGTGCGTCCATCTAGAGTGCCCGTGGGGCCCAATAGCTCGCCTTGTGGGCTCAAGCCAGAGTGAGCGTCAGCAGGGAGCACTGGCACCGCAGTGCTACGGGCTATGGACCAGGACTACGGGCAACTGAAAGACAAGGCTCAGCCCCGAAGTGCTTCGCCCCTAAAACTTAAAGATTGCTATGATTCACAAAAGCAATTAAATTGGGTGTTGACATAATGGTGACTGTGAAGACTCTGTATCTTTGCAGACATCTGCGCCACGAAACATTGTTTCATAGTTTTCCTCATACATATACAATTGTTTTTTTGCAGGTGTGGATTTATGAAGGAATCGCCCCGGTGCAAATATGAACCCGGTGAATTCCCAGATTGCTGTCCGACGGATGTAGACTGTTACTACTACATACCAAGTGGTAAAGACTGCATGCATCAAAAATGTTTCACAAAAAAGAGGTTCATTGGTTTAGACTACCTGGATGTCAAACCCGTAACAACTCGGTCCACGATAAATAGGTGCCAGCCATTGTGAGCATGGCACCACAGAGGCCCTTTCTTTTCGTGTTGTTTCAGCATGCAACATACACTCAAAAGATGGCAGCTAGGGTAATATGAAGCTTGCGATTACGAAAATTTGTAAACTGTAGTTGTGACGAGCCGACGTTTTCACCTATTCATGAATAACTGTTTCCTTTTCACTCATACAATACCTCAGGTTTTGTGAAGACACGTATTGTGAACTAAATGTGGCAATAATGAATCCAAACGAAAAGAACTACTTCTCAGAGAAATATACTGACACAGAAACGGATCTCATCAGTTGAACAAAGAAGAGTGCAGCCCAATTTGAAAAGACGTTCATGAGAGATGGGTCGACATGATCACGTAAAAAGAGAAACCTTCACACAACCTGCTTCAAAAATAAGCGTGTCATTGTGAAACCTCCTATTCTTGCCTTCGAGAAAAGGTTTGTTGCAGTCAGCCTGTCCACACTAGGACTGCCACAAGAGCACAGGCATGATGCTTTGCAAGCTGGTCTTTTTAAATGTGAAGCCTTTCTTAGTGAATTTGGGCCACTTTGACTATATCTATTGTTCTGTCTATATAGCCGCCTACGACTTTTAGCTATCCTGGCCGTTTTGATAATCGGATCAATACCTAAATTGGTGTGGCATAACATGACTGTGTAAAGGGCATATGTCACTAGTCATAACACGAAAACCATGAGGTGTATAGGATGAATGGCATAATTTACATGTTATGGTCTTGCTGCTCTTGCACTGGTTTTTTTACAGGACATATTGCATGACATGACTGCATGGAGAACATAAGTGACAGACCCTAACATGGAAATTATGGCATTTTTGTCATGCAACTCATGACTACACGCCATGATAATGGCATGCCCATGGTCGTTTCGCTTGCATCACATATAAGGAATATGGTACTACGTGACGCGAACGGACGACGAAAATATATGACTAGTGCAAACATAATCATGACGTGCATGTCATGAAATAACATCAATACATGCTAGCTCATACCACGCTCGCGACCGCTTCGCTAGCTTAACAGTATACAAAACTTGGTATTGCGTGACGCGAATCAATGACGAAGTGCAAACATGAGAATCATGGCATGCGTGTCATGTAAGAACATGACTTCATACCACACTTATGGTGTGCTCGGGGCCGTTTCGCTAGCTTCACATATGCCACATTTGGTGTTACGTGACGTGAATAAATGACGAAAGTATATCACTGGTGCAAACATGATAATTATGACAGACGTGTCATCCAAGAACATGACTGCACCCCACACTCATAATGTGCACACGGCTATTTTGCTAGCTTCACATATACCAATGAAGTTACGTGACGTGAATGGATGACGAAGGTATATTACAAGTGCAAACATAATAATAATCGCATGCATGTCATGTAAAAACATGGCTGCAAACCACGCTCATGGCGTGCTCGTGGTCACTTCGTGAGCTTCACATAAAGCAAATATGGCATTACATGATGTGAATGAACGACGAAGTTAAGTGACACGTCTAAATATAATAATCATGACAATTGTGTCATGTAAAACATGACTACATGCAACGCTCATAGCACGCTCGTGGCCAATGAACTAGCTTCACATATACCACATTTGGTATTCTTGACGTTAATAGACGATGAAGATAAATGACACGCCCAAACATAATAATCATAACATGCTTGTCATCTAAAACACGAGTACATGCTAAGCTCATAGCGTGGTCGCGGCCATTTCTCTAGCTTCAAATATACCAAATTTGGCATTACGTGACGTGAATGTATGACGGATACGAATGCGAGGCGCCAACATGATAATCATGACATTAAAGTGATGCACGGCATAACTTACGCGCGTACCACTGCTGGTGCTGGTAATGCAGACGTTGGTGGTGCCGTTGTTACGTGACTATAAACAACATAGTTACGTCTTATCCAGATACGCGACTGCGCATAACATTTATACTTATGTTCGCTATGTACTACGTCCGTCCAACTCGTAACATTGTGTTGATTTTAAAGGGACATATCAGCCTGCCTCATTCGTGCTTCGCATATCATTAATTCCCTCTGTACGTGGGGTCTGCCAATTTTTTTCTCACACCTGCTTTCCTTTCAAAGGGACCTTGGCGTAGGTGAAGGGTATATATATTACCAGACTTTATACATTGCCTAGACTAATTTGTTTTGAAAGATGATAGGCTTTCTTGGGGTTCATCGACGCCGAAATTTCGGTCTGTCTGTCTGTCTATCTGTACATTCGTCTGTTTGTCTGTGGTAACGACTTTTTTAAAAGCACCAAATGATACCTCAAGCGGCCAACCCCATCCGCAGCGCCCACCAATATTGCTCAAGTTTGAACGTTCATACTTGTGCGATTGTCAATTAAAAAGCAATTATTGCGCATATATGAGGCACCGTAACAACACTTGGATGTTTTGTATGTGTGCCTTTATACTAGAGGAGGCACACAAGTAATTCTAAGAACCGTAGCCGTTATCACGCTGCGCTGACAGTGCTACGCGATGCTCAAAAAGGCGAGTGTTTCTAAGGCTTTGCTAAGACGAGACACAGTGGTGGCACCTGCCGGTCGCTTTGTGTTCTACTCCTTATCGCTTCCGAGACAGACACGCATCTTTCTCCGCGGGAGCGCACTCCTTCCTTCGTTTTCGAAGATAACTGCCAGATGGCGCTCGTCTCTAACGTGCGTCGATGCGGACATTCGTCTTTGCTGCACGGATCGAGACCCTCTAACGCAGCGCTTCCAGAATACAATTCACCAATTTTCTCGCGCAGAACATCAAATAAGCGTTCCGTTCATGCTCTCCACACGCAAGACTATCGCATTTCGACGACATTTGCAGTGAAACATGCAGATACGGGGCCAATTTTTTTTTTGTTCTCGTTCAATATATCTTTTCGCGGTATTCCGCGTGTTCTCTTTACATGTATATTCTACAGAAATTTTTACAGATGTATTTACAGGTTCTCTTTACAGGTATTTGGCGTTAGCCGTCACGACGGTAATGGGCCAGTAGGCGTCAACACGAGTGAATTTACATCGAACGGTGCCATTGCTGCCAAACACCGAAAGACAATGCGAAACCTCTCTTGTATAATTGTAGAGCAAAAAAAATAAAGTATACTTCAGTGAAGACGTTGTTCACTTTCATGTTACACTGATTCCAATGATGGAGGGATAAACGCCAGTACCAAATATACCCTCGACTGGAACTTCAACCTCCATCCGGACTTCGTCGACGTTAAGCTTCGCTTATTTGTCGCCTTTGGTTGGGGGTTGTTTTCACAGAAGCATACACAACCCTCATTGAATTAACCGACAATGCGGAATGCGACGTCTGCGGCACAGAAGAAGACATCGACTATCTGCTATTCCGTTGCTCTGGGTTTTCCTCTGGGTTTGACGCATTGTGACAATTGGACGATCGGCCACTTTATATGCAGATGCTACTGGAGCACCGTACTCGTCTTTTGTCGACTCAAAAGGCAGTCAAAGCTGTCTTGCGCTTTTTGAGGACTACAGGCCTATGTGAATACCTTTAATTTTTGTGTAATGCCACCGGTGCACACGCGTCAGCCCATTAACAAACAATCTTTCTTTTAGATGCGGAAGCATCTTATACTCGCGCCTTGTAGTGCGCCGTCCGCACCGCTTCTCGAACATTCGACAGCTGACGCGCGCGCATGCGCCGTCGCGCCGTCGCCCACTCTTCCACCATCTGTGCATCCCTTCCTCCTCTACACACCGCGTGCGCTTCACTCCTCCACCATCTGTGCACCCTTCCTCCTCTACACACCGCGTTCGACATCTACAATTCTCCTGATTCTCCAGTGGACGCGCATGTGGCGTCGCGCTTCGAGAACATTCAACAGCTGACAGTGCATGCGCCGTCGAGCTGTATATATACTCAAGGTCGGCGCTCGCTCGCTCAGTTGCCGCTCGTCGGTTGGTTTGTACGGCGCGTCGACGTCCAAGGTCGCGGTGAAATGAATTCCAACGAATCCACAAACACAATGATCGACGTCCCTTCGACCAGCGCCGCCCTTTCGCATACGTGTGTACGTGTTCACTCATTTAACACCCCCTCCTACAACCACGTTAACCAATTTAGCCATCGACCCAAGTAAGTCGCAATTTAACACCCCATTTCACAACCACGTTAACCAATTTAGCCATCGACCCAAGTAAGTCGCACTTTAACACCCCGTTAACCAATTATATGCTCCGCATCCTCCTCAGTGTTCCCCCGAGGGAAGCTGCGGGAATTTTTTTGTCTCCTTCTTTTCTCTTTACTCTCTCTCATCTTTATACTTTCCCTTCCCATTACCCTAGTGTATGGTATAGCCAACAGGAAATGTGACTGGTTAACCACTCGGCCTTATCTCTTGTTGTTCTTGTCCTCTTCCAAGCATTGTCACTTGTGGACACATCCGTGATTTCTATGTTAATTTTTTGTTTATTGCAACATTTTTGTCGTTCTTTTAGAACACAGTGAGCTCAGTGCTAGCTGCCATATTAAAAAGCGCGTGGCGCCGTCTGTTGCAAGCGCGGCGAAGCAACAATCTCAACTGCCAGGCGAGCACACGCTCTGCAAATCAAACGTGAACCTTCACAACTCGAGTCCGGCTGTAAGGATGTTTCGCGCTGTTCCTGTGCTGGAATTTTATGCTTATTTCGTGTAAAACGTCGAGAAGACCTTCCTCGACAGTTCGAAGCGTCTGCAGCACCCGCATTGCAGACTACAGAAGCAGCTTCATCAGGTACGTGCTATTGCGATTAAAAGAAACACGAACAGTGGAATGCGTTGCTTTCCACTCAGTCTAACTGCAGCGTGCCTTGGCTGTGACAAGGCAGAATTTGTGCTGTGAGCCAGCGTCAACGTATCTCTAGAATCTGGTTCCAACTTACGCTCATGCACCGCATGTGTATCAATTTTCCGTCCTGCCGGGCACTCGGAACACACGCACGGTGCAAAAGTGCCAAGCCAGAACAAGATTTTAAAACGCTACGGTGACGCCGGCCGAAAGCACGTGTAAATTCACCTAGTGACAGTCAGGGCATGTCGCAGTTCTACTGGTTCGAACGTCATGCATTTCGCGCCGTTTACGCATCGCGATAGTAGGCCG